GGAGGGCGACTGTGGATGCCCTGGGGCCAGGCGCCTGCCATGGGGTGTAGCTCAGCACTCTATACAGCCACAGTTCCTCCTACACGAGGGTTTCTACCAGGGCATGGACAGGAGAAGACAAGACTGAGAAAAATATTCACAAGTTTAGATTACTCTGAGGGCAGAAATTTGGAGAAGCCATAGCTGCATCACTCTCCTTGCTCAGGATGGGGATTTAAACACTGAGGGTGTTCCTGTGAAGTCCAAAATGTGCAATAAATGGGAGAAAAGTTTAAATCAGGAGCAGTTCCAGGCAGTTAGCAGCTAAAGACCAAGGGATCTCGGCTTTATATATAGTCATGCCTTCCTTTCCACTCAAGATCATGCTCTATAAATACCTTCAAGGTAACGATATAAATGAAGGGAGGGAATTATTCGCAGTCTCCAAAGATGGCAGGATATCCAGCAGTGTCATGAAGCTATGGAAGGAATATTTAGGCTAGATCACGCATGGCAAGAGGGAAAAGGGAGGTGGAGACAACCGGGGAGGAGAATACCTCTAATAAAACACAAGCAGGGACGGAGCAGAGGAGATAGCCGCTGCCTGCGGGGTGCAGACCAGAGGGGGACCTGGATGCAGCTGCCTGTGAGGCTTTGCCGAGGGCTCAGCCTCACCCAGCGGGCTGTTTTTCTTACCCAGCTTTCAACAGAAGCTTGGGATGAACCTCCACGAGCAGGACAAGAGCCATGGGGCAGCTCCAGCAGCCTTCACAGCCCTGGCGTTGGTGGGACAGAACCCCCCAGCTCCTGAGCCTGGCACAAGCTCTGCTCCTCTCCCAGCTCCCCTCCCCACGGTGAGGGCTTTGCCTGATGGTCAGGGCTTATTTCCCAATAGTCGCAACTTCCATCTACCGTTTTCCAGCTCCCAAATTGCACAGTTGATTGGCAGCATCCCCTGTCCCACTTCCATGCAGGTTTGCTTCAGCTGCAACCCTGATGGTGGGATCAGACCCTGCCAGGATTTGGGAATCGGAATAAACTGATTTTTTGGGCTGGGTACAGCTACAGCAGCTACTCCAGCAGGGAGTGGAGCCATCCTTCCTCCTACGTGTGCAGGCGATGAGGAGGGACCGATGCCTCTATCTGCCACGGGACTCGGCCCACGCATATCTGTGCCGGGCTTTGGGGACCTCAGAGCAAAGGAAGGTCAAATATAAGCTTAGCGCTTGCAAATTGTCACTGACAGCAATCCGGAGGCAGAGCCCGTGGTGAAGGGGTCTGTCCCGTAAATAAATGCGCTTTTAAAAGCCTGGTGCAGAAGATGCTAAAGCAGAACTGCAGGGGAAAACAAGACCTGAGAAATGACAAGAAAAAGCCCTCACCACTAAGGCATGCGAACCTCCCCGTCCCCCCAGCCAGCCCTTCGCTCACCTCCGCCCGGGGCTCCTGCACCCACTGGTGCTCCCGGGATGGCAGCGGCAGCGTGGGGAGGAAAGCAGGGGCACGGCGGGGCTGTGACCGCGCGGCTTGTGACTGCCCACGCGACCGTGAGCAAGGGGCGCAGCTGCTCAGAGTTTCCCCTGGAAGCGGCACTTCCCCAGGCAGGAAAACACCCCGGCCGGGTGGTGGATTTAGCAGCATTTGGGGACACAAGCGTCCCCCGACTGCACCCCATGGGGCTGCCAGACTGGGTCAGAAACTGATTTATCAGCGTGCTATTTATCAGAGTATAAAATAGTCAATATGCCTAGAGATTAACCAGGAGCAGAGCACAGAAAGGGGAGAGTGGATCCCCCAGGCACTCCCCCCGTGTCCCCAAAGCAGCGGGGCTCCTCGCCTTCACACCCGTTAGCCCGCGGGCACAGGACCTGCAACTTCCCGGCCAGGGACCGCAAGATCATCCCTCCCTGCGCAGTGGTTTTGGGGAGGGAGAGCTCTGCAACACACATCACGAGCTCCCAGCTGCGCCTGGATGCTAACGCCACTTGGCAAGGGCTGTGCTGGGACGGTGCTGCTCACCGGGACATGCTGCTCTGACGGGGCCCAATCCAGCCATCGGGGCTGTGGCTGCAGGAGCCGAAGATGGGAGCAGAGGAGGAGGAGGTGGCATGAGCCTGTGGTCCTCTGGGGAAGGGGCTGCAGAGCAGCGAGCCCCGCTCCAAGCTCTCCTGTTGCAAACACCTTTGCACCGAAACACCTCCACACACCAGTTTTGATTTGGCTAGCGCAAAACGTAGGCTGGCAACCCCCAAAATGTGCCCAGAGGCACTGGCAGCCTTGCACCATGCCCACTCCGAGTCCCCAGTAACTTGGCCAACGCGACCGTGTGGCTTTAGCCTGTGGCCACCCCCGGGGAGGAGAGGGGGGGATCTGAGAAATCCCCTGCAGCCCCCACATCGCAGCCTTGGCAGCCAGTGAGGAAAGGGTGCAAATTCCCCACAGAGGACGAAGGGGGTTGTGCAAGAGCCTGGCAGAGGAGTTATTAATGATGGCAGGAATATACTGTGCACTCAGGTCCCCAGAGGAAGAGGGGCCACGCACCAGCCCCACCGGTGGGGAGAGGCCCCCCCTGCCTCTGGCAGAGCTGGTGACAAAATTCCCCCCCAGAGCCAAGAGGCAGAGAATGAAAGGGGTGAACCCACCACCCAGCCCCAGC